CCCCCCCCCCCCTCACACACACACAGACACCACCAAAAAAAAGAAAAAAAGAAAAATTCTTTTATTTTTTTTTTCTTGTTTTTTTTTGCAGTTTTCGACTTTTATTTTTTTAATTAAAAAAAATATGTGATCTGGAAAAAACAAATACGGGGTTTTAGGGTTCGAAAACCCCTTTTTTTTCCGTTTTTTTTTAACGTTTATTTCGCCGGGGAAAAATCCGTAAAAATCGTGGCCGCGACTTCGGGGCCACCGTCCGTGACCGCGACCACAAACGTGGCCGCGTGCCAAGTTTAACCCCGCGACTGCGGCCGCGGTGTCACACTTTTCCTAGTCAAGCCACGTCCGGCGACCAGAAAGCCAATAGGTTGTCACGCAGGATTTTGATGATTGTTTGGAATAAATAAATAAATTTGAATAAAGCAAACCCCTTCCTGTTATGTGCGTCTAGCTTCGAGCGAGACCCTTCAATTGCGCCCTTCGCCGGTCCCCGGTCTTAGGAATCTTTTATTTTAATTCGGAACAACAAAAATCATGCAAATAATAATCATGAAATTCAGGTGTATCATGCATGTATCAATTCTGCCAATTTCTAATTTCTGAGAACTGTGACAAGATCACTAGGAAATAGAGTTATCAAGCAAAGTCAATACGGGCAAAGCAAAGACTGACAGACTCGAGCAATGACAAGTGTAAATGAGGGAAGAATGAGAACTCATAGTCCCTCTTGGTCATACACTCAATCTCTCATTTTGCCGTGCGTTTCCTCTGCCTTGAGCCATGATCCCGTACTCCCTGAGATTGTGGCCTCTCGACATAGAGCCACCTAAAACCTGCAAGTTCCGAACACTTCCATCCGAGGCCGATAATGCAGAAGTCAACCATAACACAAAATTCCTCCCATAATATAGGAAGATATGGCTGGGAGAAAATCCCATGCCTAAGATGTCGAAACTCGGATGGCTCGGTCACTGCTTCGTAATCAATCTCTGCTGGAGATATGTACCTTTTGGCCAATTATACTAGGTCACCCCAGTAAGAACCGTCTGTGGGAAGAAAGGGGACTGGAGGCCTAGCGTAGTCAATATAGAGTTTGGGCCCAAAGCTACGAATCAGTTTGAGGCGGCACGGCGCGACTGGGAGCGTCGCCCAGACATGGACCGGTTCGTGAGTTGGTGGTGCCTTGTCGGCACGTCTCCCTGCAAGGAATATCGAGGAGTTGATGTGGGCAATGGGGATTACGGCGGCAGGCGATGGTGAAAGGTTCCATTGGTCTTATCTGGCGCGGCCATTGACGTGATGCTTCGGCTGAGTGTTCTTCCAGCGTTGATAACCTAGGCTGAAGAGGTCTCTTGCTCCGTGCTTCATTAATGTGTTGTTGCAGGTTGACACGCTAGAGGAAGGGGAGGTTGTAGGGGTGATTAGGATAGTCTTCATGAGATCTCAGGCATGGTGAAGGCCCTTCTCCTATGCTCCTGCGCGAATCTAGTGGAGGTTGGTTGGGCGGGTGGGAGGAGGGAGGCTTGTTACAATCTGGAGCGTTAAAAAGAGCTGGCGGTTTCAAGCGTTCAACGGTCAAAGACACGGAAGAAGGTAGCGGCGCAATAATGACAGCGACGATGGAGTAGGAGAATTTCGTGCGAACATGTGTGGTGCTCTTCGCGTCGGCTGCCTTTTCAAATTGATTTCGCTGATTTTAATTTTGTATCTTCTAATTTCCTATATTCTTGCTCTAATCTAGTGCTTACACACTTATAAATTGAGCTTCCCAAATTTGGAAAAATTAACTCACAATCTTATCGTTTGTTTTCTGATCAGCCAAAGTCTCATCTACATGTACACACATATACACATATCCTTGAATTTCAATTATGATTTCTAATGAGTCTCAAGCAAAGTATTCTCATCTACATGTACACACATACACACAAACATACATTATCCATTCTGAATCGCCAACACAATTCATAGGGATCTGTTCTATAATTACGTATCCTTGACTTTCGACTATAATTTCTAAAAGTCCCAAGTAAAGTTTCTATCATTATTTTATAATCTTGGAACTTGAAAACTTCGGAATTTCTCCGATAATCTATGCTGTTTTCCCGGGCACCCGGGCACCCAACTTCTGCCCGGGTACACGCCCGGGTGCCCGGCCGGGCATGACCCCCGGGCAGGGTTCCGGGCAGCCCCAGCGCCAA